CCCCAAAACCCCAAAACCCCAAAACCCCGAAAAGATCAATTATTAAGATAGAAGTGAGGAAAATAAATTTATTGAACTACTTTAAATTAAGTCATATAAAATTTATAATTAAGACAAAATGAGAAAATAAAGTAAAGAATTATAACCTGGTAAAATTATATCCCTATCTCTAAAAACAATTTAGATGACAATGAAATGTTTGAGTTCGACGATGATGATATGGGATTTGTAGATCATACTAAATAGCAGGAAGATAGCAGTGGCAAACTGATGTTTAAAAGTAAATCATTTCGTAAGGACACCAACCCTAAGTTGATGGCTGATAACAAAAATAATGGTCTACTTGATCGCATCGATCTCTCTCATGATGTGTAGGACGACAATAACTATCATACTGAGACTGAGTATTACTAGAATACTGAAGATTTCAATATATATGAAAATCAAAAGCTATTTGTTTGAAAATAAGAAAATCGTAGATTTGGTAGGAAATAGAGAAGAGTTGTCTAGAAACATTAAGCTCAAAATTTTTAATTGAGAAAGAAAATAATTCTAACACCATAAGATCAGAACGAATTTCTTGAAAACTTATTAATCAGAAATAAACCTTAAATTTTGAGTAAGGATGAAAGAAAAATTCTTAAGGCTTTTTGCAAAAAAGGACTTTCTGAGAGATATAGAAAGCATTTATGGCTTCGAGCATCAGGGGCTTCAGCAATGATAAATTTGCCTGAAAATAGGCAATACTATAGAAACCTTAAGAAGTAAGCTATGGACTATCCTAATCCATGCTTTAATCAAATAAATCTTGATCTTAGGAGAACGTTTTTCGAATTAAAAATAAACAAATCTGAATAGTTGATTGATAAATTGAGAAATGTCCTTGCTGTTTATACAAAAAGAAACCCAACAATCGGTTATTGTTAGGGCATGAATTTTTTAGTGGGCAGAATACTCAAAGTCATGCAAAGTAGTGAGTCTACTATTAATGAAACAGCAAATCATAGTAGTGTAGCTAAAGATAACTTTAGAAGCAATTCTAAATCATCTCTTAATGAAAATGATAATGATGAGGTTGAAGCATTTTGGATTTTTGTTAATATGGTCGAATCAATGCTCCCTATAGACTACTATTCTAATATGGTAGGAGTAGTTATAGATTAAAAGATTTTCTATGATTAATTCAAGCTAAGAATCCCTGACCTTTGCCATCATCTTGATCGGGTTGGATTTGATCCTAGTCTGCTAGCCTTTTAATGGCTGGTTTGCTTTTTGAGCTATAATCTACCTTAGGAAGTGTCGGTTAAAGTTTGGGATCTATTTTTCCTGCAAGGAACAAAAATCATTTTCAAAGTATCACTTGCCTTACTTCATTTAATGAAAGGAGAACTAATGAAAGCAAGGGAGTTTTCAGAGATATTTGAAACACTTGAAACGTTTCCTAGGAAAACTATAGATTATAAAACTCTGATATAAACTACCTAGCTCAAATAATTTAAAATAAGAAATAGAGATATTAGATATCTTAGAGAGTAAAAAAGAGAGGGAGTTTAAGAGGAGTTAAAGAAATTAGTTCTAACTAAAGACATTTTCAGAGGTACTTACTAGCGGTTGAAGTTTATGAATAAATTCTATCTGTATTCAGGTTTGTAGAAAATGTACGAAAATCAAGATAGTATTGCTAAGGAAGTATTTTAAAAATCATTAGACAACTATGAACAAGAATTAATGAAAATCTTTAATTGTAATACTAAATGGCCTATTTGCTTATTCGACTTTACTTATAAGAATAAAATACCTTAATTTCTTTGCTTTAGAACAAGCACAAACCCTCCTGTAATTATAGAAGAATATTTCAATCCATTTTAAAGAGCGCATATAATAGAAGAATATGATCCTGAACGAAAAAATGAAATTTTAATGGAGAGAGGTTAGCACTATTGTAATCATGATCCGAGATTTATTGAAAACTTTAAAATACTTTACAATAATGCTCACGAAGCACTCTTTGGCAATGCTAATCTGCTATTTGATATTACAAGCGAAATGAATTCTCTCAAATCGTTAAGGCAGTTTATGAAGGAAATTGCAAATTTTCAAGGAATTGAAGAATTTAGAAATAAATCTATTCCTTCTTCAAGATCGACCAAGCTAATTGGTAGTAAAATCTCAAGTAAATTAGTTGATAGTGTTATAAGTACTGAGAAGGATAAGCAATAAAATATGTTTTAAAAAATAGAGGAAATAGACCATGATATTTTGGAGTAAGATTAATAATAGAATTTAGAACAAGTTTTGCGAGATAAAAACTAACACTAATTACCAAATTCAGAGGAATTCAAGTAAAGTTTGCCTAAAATGACTTAGCCAAGGTACAAAACCACTTTATCCAGACAATTTTAAATAACTAATAACCTGGGTGCAAATCAAGATGAAGAGACAAAGAGCTTAGATGAAGAACTCCTTGAAGAAGAGCAAGAAGAATTATTTCCACTCAATAATAAAATATATAGAGCATAGTCGAGTCTCCATCAAAGTGCACTAAATCTATTAGCTTATTAAAAAGTTGGGAACAAAGGAGGAGAAAAATATCTTGAAAAACTGTTCAAGATTCCAATATCTGATATCTGAATTATAATATTATGTAATAATTTGAATTCAGAAAATAAAGTGAATCTCTATAATAAGGGGTTTTGGGGTTTTGGGGTTTTGGGG